ATAAATATATGGTGTCTCACAGGAATTTTTATATTCAGATTCCATATGTAGAGTGTGATTTCTGGTATGAGGAATACCAGATAGAAAATAAATGCAATTCCCTGAATGCCATATAAACACGAGGGTTTTTTTGGCATGAGCTTCCCCTCTCTTGCGGAAGCCCTGGGAGCCGTGTTGGAGCAAAAGCTCCGGCAGCCGCAGAACCCTTAAGCCTGTGTTGTTAAGATCTACTTTGAATCTGTTAAAAACACTAGTGGCTGCCTGTAGCTCTCTTCACACACGTGTTTCCAGTGTTACTACTATTAAGGGACTCTTGCTGAAAAATAACCCCTATAGATAGAATAAAAAATAAATAACATTGGAAGCAAACACGTCTGTTGGACGTGTTCCCCCAGCTTTAACTTCCATGCTTCTGGCACACCCTGGTTCAGTTGTATCTACTCAATATGATGATTAACTCGAAGGGTCTTTTCTCTTCTTTTCTCTCTGAATTTACTTGTGCTCCAAGGAAAATAAATGAGAGAATTGCAAGTATGTGACCACTTGGTCTTGGTTCTCCAAGACTGAGATGTCAGTTTGGTACTTGTTGATTTCCCTAATCATAGAATCATAGAATCATTCAGGTTGGAAGAGACCCTTGGGATCATCGAGTCCAACCATCTACCCTACTCTACAAAGTCATCCCCTACACCATGTCCCTTAGCACTGCATCTAAACGGCCCTTAAACACAGCCAGGGATGGTGACTCCACCACCTCCCTGGGCAGCCTATTCCAATGCCCGACCACTCCTTCGGTGAAAAATTCTTTCCTAATGTTCAGTCTAAACCTACCCTGTTGGAGCTTGAAGCCGTTCCCTCTCGTTCTGTCACTAATTACCTGTGAGAAGAGACTTTGTCTCTGAAAACGTTAAACTTCTGTCTGGGAGGATACTTGAAGTTATTTTTATACAGAGACATTTTCTTTGACTAGTGGGATGTTAAAATTGCTTTGCAGTTCTGTTTGAGGAGTTAAAATTCCTCTTCCATGAAGGATCCCCAGTTTATTCCTTCTGGATGAAAATCCACGTGTGTGTAAGAAGTCATGGGTAAAGTCCATGAGAGTTGCTCAGGCAGGACAAGATGGGGAAGATAAATGCTTTTGTGCTGCTTGTGCAGCAGCAGCTCATTCAGCAAACGCACTGGGGAAGCACCTGCCAAATTAGTGGGTGTATTAAACCTGAGCCGAGCTCAGCTAGAACATCCCCTGAATCTAAATCTCTTTCCTTTGTTTTGCAGCAAGGTAACAGGGAAACACAGGAACGGATTGTGTGTTCTCAATTGATCATGCAACAGTAAATGGTTAAACGGAGCCTCTCGGATGCTCTCAAGGCAGCATATTCCTGCTAAGTGGTGCTTGGATTGTTCACGTCCCACTGTTGCACCTAGTGATGATCTCAAAGCAGCTTTATGGGGTGTGACTTTTGTGGTGGTGAGCCCTAGAGACTCGTGGAATTAATACTTTTTTAATTGTTATTGCTTGAACATTGATTAAACTTTGTTTAAGGACTTCTAAGGGATTCTGTCATCGAGCTTGACTGGTTTATTGATGTGAGCCTGAATTTCAGAATGAAACTCTAGGGCTGCACTGCCAGCTCTGTTCCTTTCTGCCATTGAGTGGTGAATCCTTTGTGCCTTCGCTTCCTTTTTATGTGGAACTTGCCTGTGCTTTTGTAAACGTTTGCTTTGAAAGGGTGTGGGTAGAAATCGCACTATCTTAATAGTATTGTTTGTGTATAATATTACACAGCGACTCCGCAGGACTGGGTTGGTGGCCTCCAGGCAGGCTGAGGTTTGCAAAGGGTGTGAGAGGATTCACTGAGTGCGAACTGGGTGCCCTGTTCTGCTGGCTCCGTGTGGAAATCCCAGCTGAAATAATTTACAGCTTAATCACACACAGAAAGCGTCTTCGGTTCCCAAGGGAGTTTTATTCATTCAAGTTTGCTGCTCGTAGAGTTCGTGTTACATTAGGAAACCACGATTCCTGACCTCAGAGTTGAATACATGTTTTTAAAAATAGAGATGGGACAGAAGAGAGAAGAATAAATAGACTTCATTTTTAAGGGCTTGCCAAAAGCAAATCTACATGCTGCAAAATGTTACATCAAACTTGCCGAGAAATGACTGAATCAAATTGTTTTTCAAGGGCTCGTATTAGAAAAGCAGTACGTTGTTTATGACAGACAGTTGTAGGGTAATTCTGCGGTTTTCATCTTCACCTGAGCAAACAGAAGACTTGCCTTGAAAAAGCAGCAGATTATTTTTGCACTTTAGACAATAAATGCTTTCTAGAAGACTCACAGCCCCATCAGTGCGACAGAGCCGACAGAGGAGCACAGTAAACCAAACGTTTACAGAGCAGGTTTATTTTGGGTGGAGGCTGCATATGTAACATTTGAGTTGTTTTAGTTGTGATAAGCCTGACCTGAACACTGAGGACGTATGACTCGTGTCCTTATTTAAAAGAACAAACAAACAAACATACATAAAAAACCTGTAGCAAGCTTATTCAGTGTCTGTGGTAAAGTGAATAGATTTTCATGCCTGTTTTATTAATGGCCTGGTGCTACGTGGTATACATTGAGAAGTTTGTTGTGGTTTGGGTTTTGGAGGGATTTGTTTTGTTTTTTTTTACATGGCATTCAATTCAACAGTGAGGGAATTGAGGTACAAGCCCTGTGAAGGGCCACCAAAATGTCTGGGTACTATGGCAGAGGCTGAGGGACCTGAGCTGCCTCAGCCCAGAGCAGAGGCTTGGTTGGGAGGACCTAAGAGCAGCCTCCTCCATGCGTGGGAGGAACTTAGTGAGAAGATGGAGCCACGCTTTTCCCTTTGGAATGGCTGGAGGGTGAGAGGCAGTGGGTGTGAGTTGGAACAAGACGTTCATATGGGTGTAAGGAAGAACTTCAGCATGAAGATAGACAAGCAGGGTTGCCCAAAGAGGCTGTTGCAGCCTTGGAGAACTTCAGAACATTACTGGGTAACGTCCTGAGCAACCTAGTCTGATCTCAAAGCTGTTCCTGCTCTCAGCTTGAGGTCGGATTAGAAATCCTCCAAGTTTCTTCTGACCTCAGTTTTCGAGTGACGCTGTCCATTTTGCACGTGTGGTGATAGCTGGTTACTTGATTGAAGCGAGGAGGATTCTGAAGGGGTGAGGGAGAAGTGTTTTTATTGCACAATCAATGTCAGCAAGAGGTTTATGTCATGTACAGCAATATACTTACATAGTTGTGAACTGTGGGCAATTTTTATATTAATTTCAGAGGTCCCTGTGAGAACTAGCACCCCCGCAGAGTTCAAAAACACTACATATAAACTTGCCTTGAAAAAATAATGGAGGGGCCACCCACACTGGTAAGCTGTTGTTTCTCATCAGATTTGCTCCTTAGAAACTCGGTGTGTTGATAGAGCATCAATAAAACATTAATTCACATCATCCACTCAAACAAAGAAGCCGAAGGGACTGTGCCGGATCCATTGGACACGTTCAAATCCAGAGGGGCTTCCTTGCATCCGCTGAAAATGATGGTTGGACTAGATGATCTTAAAGGTCCTTTCCAACCTAGGCAATTCTATGATTCTATGAAAACTTGGTCCTGTCGTTTTGCTTCTTCATCTGTAAGTGTCCATGCAGCCCAAGGAGAGTGATGAGGGTACTGAATTATTGGTACTGAAGTATTAGTGGATTTTCCATCAGACCCTCTGAGCAACAATATGAGATTCCTAATGAAACAACATAGGGATTAAACTGTGACTGAATTTAAATGGGGTTTACAGCCCGTGGAGTGAGAGAGGGAGTGAAGGGCTGGTAACAGCAGGATCTAAATAAAAGCACATATTCAGCTTTTACTGGAACATGCATGGCAAATCCCAGTGATTCCCTGATGTGTCTCGTAGCCCCGTACTGCGTAGCGCGGCATTCAGCTGTTCTGCCAGTCAGCCTGATGGAGCTCTCTCGCCTTTTCTTGTCATGTCCCATTGATTCATCTCTGTAAACCCACATGCTGGGAGATTGTTTTTTGGGGGTCTGTTTGAGGGGCCAATGTTTCGTCAAACTGGTAATTGCTGGGTTTCCACGACAGCGAGCGGAGGCGGAATTGCTCTCAATGTGCTTTGTTTCAGATGCTGAGCTTTTTGTGACCGAGGCTTTTTGATGGAAGGGGGTATGAATGGCCATGTGTACATCATTTGAAAAACTATAGTTTACGTGTCAGCTGTTGATTCAAAGTGTTGTGATTTGGTGTATAGATACGTTTTCTATAGCAGGATAGGGAAATGCCAGATTTCCAGATGATACCAATCAAGACTTCATTGCCTTCAGTTCAGTGGATTTCTGTGGATTTTCACTGCGTGAAATAGGACCTTTAAGAAACCACCTCACCCAACTTTTACTCCTCTACCTTTCCTCTCAAAAATCTGTCCCCTATCTCAACAACTGCAGATCTGGCTATTTCCACATGGAAGCCTTTGCTCGGTACAGTACAGTTCAAGATTTATCCACAAGGGGTGTTTTCCCTGTAGCTGACATGATACTGATAGCAGAAAATGAGACTCATTATGATTTTGGTACACACTCATAGCATTTAATACATTCAGTATTTAAAATGCCTTTAGGGTTTTGGTATTGCTGATCTAAAAATGCTTTGTCTGAGTAGGCTTATTAAAATCAATAGGGGTCTTCACGTGCTTAACCTAAATTATTTGTCTAGTTCTTCTTAAAACGAGGCGAGTCTGTGTCTCCCCATCAATGGATGAAGGCTGTTGGAGATGACATTGTTGTGAAATTGCCATCTATTTAAAAAGACACTCCTTATGTTTGCTCTGAGAGCATTTACTTAACAGAGGCAACATTAATCTAGGAAAAGCTTAACTGTTACCAATGTAACATCCTGCCTTTATGTTTCAATACATCTTTAAAAGGCCTTTCAGTGTAGATTTATTGCAGTTTCCCCCCTGTTTTACAGATACTGTGAATAAGGACACTGAACCCAAAGATCCATATCCTATTCCAAGAAAGATTATGGCTGAACCAGACTACATAGACGATGACAATCCTGAATTAATTAGACCTCAGAAATTAATTAATCCTGTGAAGTCATCCCGGAATCATCAAGATCTCCACAGAGAGCTGCTTATGAATCAGAAAAGGTAAGAGTCTAAAAATCACTTGTGCCACTCTTCCGCCCCAAACACACAGCGTGAGTTTCAGCTTCATCAAAATGACGTTTTACCCAAAATCCAGCAGGCACTTTTTGTTGATTTGGATCTTGTAGATGAAAAATCTCCTGATTCTTAACAGCACCATTTATTTCTGTTTGCATTTCAGTTGCTCTGCAAAAGCTTGCCGTGAAAGACTTCTCCCTTTGTTTTTACCAATGCTCACAAGGGGTTGGTCTCCAGAGGAAGCAGTTCAGTTCTCCCCTATCACATTTCATATTGGTTACCTGGGCACTGTAATTTGTCTTCAGCTCTTAACTTTATCAACCACTTGACAGAATTTTGCTATTACCCGCAGGATGGTAAAATCTGTAGGTTTTCACCATTCGCAGCTCACTGAGTTTATGAGGCCACTTTTAAAGAAATCCCATATTTCTTTTCACGTGGAACTGTTCTCTACTTGCTTGATGTTTCTTGCAACATGGTATGATAGTCTGGTGCCTGCTCTGCTGCTGCACAAGTGTTTCTTTGTGTGTTATGAAATGCTGCTTCCTTCATTCCGGGATGGGATGCACAGCTGTTGCTCTATATATTGCTTTTAAAGATGTAAACAACTGGAACTGGATTTCATCACCTTCAGAGACACAGGCACTTGGCCCAGAGATAGCTGAAGTTCTGTTATTAAATCTCTTCAGCCACAGAGGACTCATTTAGAAAACATACTAAGAAAATAGCTACCAGACCACATGGTGGAGGAAAAGCCACCAACCCTGTTGAGGCTCCTCCGTTTGAGCAAATGGAAACTACCTGTGACATAAATTAGTGATTTGGTGCATTGAAGCCACCCAGAATGGACTTTCCAAAGGCAAGGGTGTGAGGATCCACAAAACAGAAGTGGAAGAACAGTAATTCAGAGTACATTTGAGAATAAATTTGCTTGTAGCAGCCGTTCAGGCTTTCTGAGACCCAGGACCTCAATAAAGGAGAGGGGGAAGCTATTGCTTTGGCTACTCCAGCCCAACTGGATTTGTCTTTTTGGCAGGAGGAGTTGCATTATGAAAATTTCTCTTTCCCCCCCCCTCTGATGGGGTAGTATTTTGAGGGGAGAAGGAGTCTTTTCTATGTAATAGCAAAATCCTCACAAATTCTAGGCTTAGAAACTTAATTCTAAATGAATTGCATACACAATACAGCTTTTCTTTAGTGATGAAGAAGTAGAAATGTTTTACAGAATGCCAACTGAATTGGAAGAAACTGGCCTAAATAGGTGTTTGTCCTATTTTTTGTTAATGAGATTAAACATCAAAGTTAGTTCCTACCACCAAGAAGTTTATAGTCATTGAAAGAAAGATAGTTGAAGTTTCCTGAATTATGGTCTTATTCTAAAGGGTGTGGAGGCTGCAATAAATTAAGGCTATTTTTTTTCTTTTAACTTTATGGAAGCATAAAGCACTTTTAAATAGTATGGAGTTCTTTTCTTCTAGGAGAATATCCTATTACACAGAGGAGCTGTGCAGCCCTCAATACCCACTCTTCTCTTATTGTGATTTTGATTAGCTGCAGCTGTTAATTTTAGATTCTTATTTATTGGTGCAGAAATGAAATACTTTGAGGGTTTTCACCAGCAGAAAAAGTGGTGGTTTTGAAAAGACGGTTATTCTGCTGTGCTTCATGCCACTGTGCTACCTCTGATATGAGGCTTTACAGTAATGTAGATATTAAGCTTGTGTTCTGCTTTGTTACTGTAAATTGTCCATGTATGGAGGACTTTTAGTGCTCTTAGAGAAGTCTGCTTAGCGTGCACCTTATTTTATTGTGAAGACTCAGTGTGGGCACCAGCAGCTTTGCTCTTTGACCAGTCAGCTCTGAACAGCCATTTCTGGATCTTAGAAGATAGTATCCAGTGCTGGTCCCATCATTCTCCATGGCTGCCACGAGCAGTGTCTGTTGGGTCTTCAACTGATGTAGTTTTTTACTTGCAGAACGGTGGTTGTTTTGGGCAAAGATCCAAGCAGTGGTACCTCAAGGCACTGGTCACTTATCTTAAATGATTTTTACTTACTAGGGCTCAACCTAAGCTCTGCAGAGTGTTGGTCCTGTCCCTCCCAGAGGTTTTAACCCTATCAGCTCTAACCTGTGTTATAGCACACTCTGCTTCCTCTATATCAAAGCTTTAGGATTTTTTTATTCAACCAGAACAATCATCAGGAGGTGATACAAGACTCCCAGTAGCCTCCTGTTTGTTGCTTTTCCTTCTTACACAGGAGAGTGAAAATAGGATTGATATTACAGTTGTTCTGGTAAAGATCTGACTACCAATCTCCATGTTATTAGACTGATGAATTGTATTTACTTTTATCTTCTGTGGGTCTCCTCTATTATACCTACAGCCCATCCAAATCACTCATGTGCTTCTGCTTTGCTATGGAAAGATACCTTACTGATAAAAGGCAAGAAGGAGTAATGTTATTAGCAGCTTGGCTCTGCTTCCTGGGTATCTTGGTTGCTAATTGCCAACGCAGAAGTTTCCATTGATTCAGCTCTCACTGACCCTGCAGCAGTAGTAATAAAAAATCACTCCAGCTTCTCTCTGCCTGACTTAAGTTTTACGTGTTAAAATGTAATTAAAATGGCATGAAACATAAAATATTAACACAGTCTTGTAGCTTCTGCTGCATTCAGGCCATGAGATCTATTATGAGAAATGGGGAACAGCATTTGGTGTTGCTAAATATTTGATTTTGCAGTCAGGGTATGTACATGCATAGAGTGTTGCATAATATATGGAGTCATTCATAGATGTCACCATAAAATGGCATTTTAATGTATTATCGGACATGCTGTCAGATACGCGTTTTATGGAAGAATTAGGCAACCATAGATATATAGCAAATAGGGAAGGGCAAAAACATGTTTTCTGAAAACTTATTCAGATTATTGAATTTCTTAAAGTTGAAATAAAAAAAATGCTTGATGTTAAATTTAATGCTGCATGTTTTCACGTAATAGTCTTCACAGGGAAGATGACAGTTAACAAAGGCAAATTTCAGATCTTTCTTCTCTGACTTAAGTGAGGCTAATATCTGAATAACAGGGAGAGCTTTGGATCTCATCATAACAATTTTTGAAAGCATCATAGCATAACAGATAAAAGAAATAGCTGAAGTCATAAAAATAAATAGGAGCGAGTCTGTATCTGCGTGTGTGCCTCTATAAATAAAGACATGCATCTTCCCAAAGAATAAGCTTTCTCATTTTAGAGTAGTTGGCTTGGGAAGCAATTTGTGCTGAACAGACCTGAAACATTCAGTTGATGAGGTAGCTAAAATCCTGCAAAAAAGAGAATCCTCCAGCCTTTGTCTGGTCTCCAAGGTGACGGCAACTTTTTTTATTCTGGATTTTTGTTGTCTTAGCCTCTTTGTGATTTTGAGTGTAGCTCTCGCTGGAAATAGCTTCACAGCCAGACATGGGGAGATCTCTCACCTTTTCAAGGAAGGACAGACTCCGTGATTTCCAGGAGCAGTGTGACAAAATCCAGGAAACCACTTTTTAGTTCTGTCCATGTGAATTTCTGTGGGCATAATACCCTGCGTAGGACTGTCTGAACACAATCTCTCTGAGTTACCAGCCAGTAAGGAAAGTCTTTTTGTCCAAAATTTGTTTCTGGCTCTGCTAGAGTCTTGATTTGTGATGGGTTTTTGAATCCATTCTTCTGGAATTGAGCAAACAGAGAGAAGACTGAAGTAGAAAGTCGAAACACTTAATTATACAGGAGAAATACTAGCATGCTTCTTAAAGAGGAATATCCTCACTAATAATATGGCTTAAATTCTAGTTTAGGGTTTTGGTTAGAAACCAGGCAAATGTCTGCCTATTTTTTCCTTTTTATTAATAATTTATATTCCATTGTATCTAAATGGGCAACTACTTGACTTCAGAAAGCCTGCCTGCAATTCCATGTGAATTTCTTCTAATTAAAAATCTCTTTCTTCCCTGTTTCCCCCTCCACCACCACTCCTCCCATTTAATTTGAAGGGGTCTTGCGCCTCAGAATAAGCCGGAGCTACAGAAGGTGATGGAGAAAAGGAAACGAGATCAAGTTATTAAACAACAAAAAGAAGAGGAAGCACAAAAGAAGAAATCAGACCTGGAAATCGAGCTACTGAAACGGCAGCAGAAACTGGAGCAGGTAAGATGGGGAATAACACAACCTTTACACACCTACGTCTGAGCTACTCGCCCGAGGCTCCCTTTGTAGACAGGAGAAAAGCACCAGCCATTTTTTGGCATGTTTCCTCTGATCAAATGCAGACATCTTTTTTAGGATGAGTCAAATCACACTTTAAATTGCCTCTTTGTTGTCATTTACTGTACAGGAACCGCATATGATGTCTGCCTTTGGTCAAATGAATCCTGCACCAGACAACAGGAGTGTGTGTGGAGCCCTGACTTTATTTAACCATTGAAACTGTGGTGAATTAGTCAACTTTTGTAGTCTAACTAGTAAGAGATGATCCACTAAGAATGGCTGTTAGACTGCAGGGCATCAAAACTAGATACTTAATGACTCAAAAAAATAAATTGATTCCTTCTCCTGGCTTATGTAAGAAAGTAGGTGACTTCAGAAAGATCTTTTTAGCCTAGCACAGGGCCAGCCAAACGTTTGTGCCTCTCAAGGCACTCTTGTTTTTCATAATGGAAATCAATTAAGCTGAGTAATTACTCTATTGAAAATGAGGTGTAATACAATCATTTTTCAGGTTTGGGGGGGTTTTATGATTATTTTTTTTTTAAATTAGGCTTAGAAATATATTTGGAGGAAGAAAGCTATTGTATTTTTAAAGGTATCATCTTGTCACTTTTCCTCTCTGCTCTTAAGGGCCCAGCTTTAAATGGTTCAGCTTGTGGGAAGATTTGATTTAAACCCGAGCTGTCCAAGGACATATGTAGAATAGAAAATTCTGTTAGAAGAGGAAAAGCTTGCCCGTTACAAACAGTCTTGTGACTTTGTAAACATCATAGGAACGGCATTAATTGACAATGTGACTCATGGAGCAACATTGTCATGATTTATTGTAACAAGGCATGTCCCTTGCTGGTGAACCAGAGACAAAGGAGAGATTATTTAGGTGAGCCGTGCGTGCTCCCCATTAATCAGGGAGACCTTGGTCTGTTAAAAAAACAAAAGCTCCTTTCAAGAGCTTTTGTTACTTTTCTGAATGATTGTTTCTTCCTTTCTGCTGACTTATCTGCATTCACTGAGGATTGCTAAGCAATCTCTATTCTGTACATTGTGTTCCCTATGGACACTGTACAGCCTTGCTCCATAGAGCAGAGCTTCTAACCTCACATGGTCATTTCAAGTGCCTGCATAGGCAGAAGCTCCAAACAGGTTAAAAATGTCAGTGAATGGGCTCTCAAAAATCATAGAATCATAGAATCGTTTAGGTTGGAAAAAATTAAGATCGTCAAGTCCAACCCTTAACATAGCACTGCCAAGTTCACCACTAAACTGCTAAACCATGTCCCTCATCACCACATCTACACGTCTTTTAAATCCCTCCAGGGATGGGGACTCAAAATCAACAACAAAAGGCCAAGGAGGATTTTTATTTTTTGTATTGCTTTTTGTGATGGACAAAACAGATACACCACAAGAGGCTGAAGTCAGGTACAGAATTCCATACCTAGACACTCAGAAATAAATTCTGTGAGTGTGCTCGGTAGTAGCTGTTCGCACGTGTCCTCCCACAACACACATTTGTCCTTATCCTGTTGCAAAAGCCAGAGAAGGGAATAGTTTCTTCAATGAAGATGTCCAAGAATTTCTTCAAAAATGCTCCATCTTGTTCTCATTTTGGGCCTGCAGAGTTGTTGTCCATCTGGCAAAGGTGGATGTCTGGAATGAGCTAGAGCCAAGGATTTGAAAAGATTTACCGTTTATGAGAACAAATACTCCCAAATACTCCCAAAGAAATGGAACTTTATCTTTTCCATGAGAGAGAGAAAGGAAGCAGTTTAAAGAGTTTTGCATGGCCGGTTACTAAAACCTTTAGGTTTATTTATTTTGTTTTTCGATGAACTGGTTTATGTGATTTTTTTTTTTCATGTGATTCCTTTTTAAGCTGGAACTGGAGCAACAGAAGATACAGGAAGAGCAGGAAAACACACCTGAATTTGTCAAAGTCAAGGGCAACTTGAGGAGGACGGTCCAGGAAGCAACAGAAGCACCAGACTCCTAGAGCCAGCACCTGCTAAGACTTCCCGCTTTCCTGCAGAGAGAAGCTTTTGCAAGTTGTCTCAGATTTGCCCCTCAAGATGGAAACTAACAGCATCCAGCTGACACTTCCTGAAGATGAGATTTTTTTAATTCCTGGGACGGGTGGATTAAAAAGACAGTACCGTTAACAGATCGACTTGCCAAATGCAGTCCTGACATCAATGGATAAGGAGTCTGTCTGTCAGTTCAGTGTCATGGACCAGGCTGATGTGCTTACTCAGAGATTTTAACCAGGGATACTAGAGAAACTCCTTCAGCGTTGCACTGCTTTATCTCTTGTGATCCTAGTTTAGTGGAGATACACAGATTATATTTTGCTTTAAAACAGAACAAAAATCCTCCCGTGATACCTTATGAAGCTTTGCTGTGCAGCTAGATTTCCTCCATCTAGACCTACAGCCTGTGTATATCCCACAATAATTTGTGCTTAGTTGGAATTTTTATCAAATCTGGGAGGATATGAGATGTGTTGGTCACTGCTGCCCATCCCCTCTAGGATAGGCAGGTGTGGGCAAGATGAGAATGCTTAAAATTCACCAGCAGTGAAAAGTTAAGCAGCCTTAAAGCCCGTTTCTCCCTGTTTGGCATGTAGAATTTGGGCTATGAAAGAGCAGAAATCTGATGATCCTCTCAGCAGGGAGAATCCAGAAGCTGATTTTATCTGTGTCTCTGAACTTACACCGTTGTGTAGAGGCCTGTGCAGTGCTACCTGTGAATTTACCTCTCAATGCAAAATGACCCATCTCCTACTTTTTTCCGTGTTTTGAAATCCTGCTTACTTTGCTGTTGTGGCCTTTCTCCTCCAAGGACACGCTGATCTTGAGCACAGTGTTAACACATTGCTTGGTAGTGTTTAAACTCATTTGCTGGAACTGAAATCAGGGATCTGATCTGGCATCAGTTCCTGCTCTTCTCTTGCCAGAACTTGTTGCAGTTCCTGCAACAGAGCAGCGTTTAATCGAGACCAAACCGATCATTGGTATCTACTGAACTGGAAAATTTTTCCCTCAAGTGAGGCGTAAAGTGAAATTCATTTTGTCCCATCCTTCCATTAGCCTCAAGGAAGGAGAAGGGAAATGTGTTACCACTGAGTCTTAAGGTCCAATTCTGTCACCTTCTGCCTTTCCACAAGTCGCCCCTGTGACTTGCCATTAAATAAAATACTGCTCAGCTCGCAGAGGGATGGCCGAGTCTCATCCTTTGTGCTTATGACTACTAGTTATCCAGGAAGGTCTGGGATGAGGAGGAGGGAACAGATTACTCGTGTAGGATAACAGAATTGGATTCTTACCTGGTATGAACGGGTACAGATTTCTTATCTTCAGAATCTGGGGATAGAGCCTCATCTTCCTTGGTCGGCGCAGTCCTAGCTCTCACTGAAGCTGTGTTCATCCCTATCAGCTGAGGATCTAATCCTAGTCTTTGCCTTAGGATGCTAAACAAAATAATTTCTACTTTGTAATTACTTTGGACATAACTGTTTGAGAACACTTTTTATTAATATCAACAGTGGCGTGTTTGTATTGTTAAGGTGGTGGGGGAGGGTTTGTTGGCTTGGTTTTTTTTTTTTAGTTCCTTTTGCCTTTCCTGTAAGTATTAGACATTTTAAATACAATTCCAGCCTAGCACTTGGGACAAAATGCTCACAATTAGAAATGTTTCCTAGATACAGACTTCAATTTGTCAAGATCCAGGCTTTTTTTATGCGGACATAATCAGATTGAGGGTAAATTGAATTGTGATAAGTGTATTGCCATTGATTTAGACTTGCAGTGTGACTCACGTCTAGAAGATTAAATGTGAAGATGGTCTGCCAGACTCTTCATATTATGGACATACAAAAGACAAAGGCCAAATGTAGAGATTCTTCCATGTATTTTTCTCAACAAAGGAACACCCCGAGTGCTGTGGGCTCTTCCTTCTCTCTTTCCCTTCATCTGGAAGGAGAGGAGCTTCCTGGCAGCACCGTTATTCAAACACTTGCACTGATTGTTTCACGTTGTTGAGACAGCACCACGTACGAGCCTTCCACGCCACGCTCATGTTTTATCTTAGCTGCTCCCAGCCTCTCAAACTTCATGCCTCTTGGCTTCCACTCCACAGTTAACCTTCTGCTCAGTATGGAAATGTCTAGAAGTTGGTGAGGAAACCCTCCTCTGGCTTGAGCAGACCCTTTCTTCTCAGCCTTTTTCCCTCGGCGAGCAGGGCAATCCTACCACGCCTACACCGTGAAAGAAAGTTGGTGTCATCCAAATGGCACCAGGGGGATGAGGACCTCTCCTTGGCTTCAGTAGTGTGTTGGATTGGGCCCTTCAGGGCTGAAGGATTCTGCTTTCTCTCCGTGTTAGCTTGTGATTCAGGGTAGAGTTTTTCTGTCTGAAACACAGGAGGCCAGAAAACTCCCTTGTACATACAGCGTGAAGTTTTTTTGTTTGTTTGTTTTCAGTTGGAATTAATTCTCCGTGTGAACAGAACATCAACGTCTGTCTTAGAACATCTTTGAATTCTGCTGACCCTTTAGTCTAGAAATCCCGGCCACCTTTATGTCCATTTGACAGGCAAAAGCTTGTCTTTGAAGTCAGGATTGGGCTAGAATGGGCAACCCTTCAATGGGTGATCTGCTGGTTACACCACAAGTGTCCTGTGCGGCTGCTCGAGTGAGAAACTGCCTGCCAGCGAGCTGTAAGCAATCCCTGATCTGCTCTTTAGCTATATGGGTTTTGAAGCAATCCCGCAAATAATTCTGTGATTTAAAAATGGCTCACTTACCACTTTGTACTTTTTTAAAAAAACTCTTGCTTTTGATAGTATAGTAGTAAATTTTTTAGCATTTTTGTGGCTTTAACCTTCTGTTAATATCTGCACTTGTTTGAGTGTACATATATAAATATATATAAATATAAAAAAAGGGAGCCTTAATGGATTTGTTTTCATAATTTAATATTTTTTGTATTTGCTCTTGTATAATTGTTTTTAACTAAAGGTATTACGAGAATGAGGGTGGAATACTTAGAACCAAAGTTATGCTTAATAAAATCTACTACATGCTTGGCGTACGCGGTGGTGTCTGTCATGTCCTGCCCGAAACACAACCTCGGAGCTGCGCTGAGATATCCAGGTTATTTAAAATTCTGCTGGGCAGGGGCAAGTATCAAGATCACGATGACTTGTGGTTCCTTCAAACTGCATCCATGTTTGTATGTGCAAAATTATTGGCAAATTAGTTGGAGAAAAATGCTTATAAATACTTGGGTGTCAGGAGGATGAGGCCAGTCTTTTTTCAGTGGTGCCCAGTGACAGGACAAGAGGTAACGGGTGCAAACTTGAACATAGAAAGGTCCATCTAACATGAGGAGGAACTTCTTTGAGGGTGGCAGAGCCCTGGAACAAGCTGCCCAGAAAGGTGGTGGGTCTCCATCTCTGGAGATGTTGAAAAACTGCCTGGAATGTTCCTGTCCAGCCTGCACTGGGTGGACTTGCTTTGGCAGGGGGGTTGGACTAGGTGATCTCCAGAGGTCCCTTCCAACCCCTACAATTCTGTGATTCTGTGAAATGATTTGCTGGGTTGGGGTCAGATTGCTCAGTGCTAAGAGTAAAAATCCTGTGTCAACAGCAGACAGAGAAAATCAGCAGGGGGAGGAGCAGGGCTGGGGCAGGGGTGGTTCATCCATTCTCCACCAAGATCCTCAGCTCTTACTGGTAAGCCCTGGTCAGCTGGGGACAGGTGGTGACGGAGGGGGAGCTGGAGAGGAGCGCGGGGTGAAGCGGGGAGGGGGAGGAGGAGAAGAGCAGTGAATTCAGAACAGATGTCAGGAAATGCTTTTTTCCTTCAGAAACGGCTCAGCATGTGGAGCGTCCCTGGCAGCGCTGCTGATGCAATGGCGCTGCTGGACCCGCTCCAGGAGCTGTCAAACGTGGGGGAGGTAAGAAAGAGCAGAGAGTCAGTAAGGGCTGAGTTTCTACAGCCTGATGGGGATACTGCCCCGCGCTCTCCTACCTCAAGCATCTCCAAATGTGGTTTGAATTAGCCTTTGATATTTCCCTCCGGCTCCAGAAAGAAAACAGCGAGGGCACGTGATCGGCTTTTGTAGCACGTCCAGCAGAAAAGATGATCTTCCTTTTGTCTGCTTTTTTGGAGATTCCGTTGAGCTAATCCGTTCTGTCATGTGGCTTCGCAAGCACTGGTCTGCTGGGGGCTTTGCTTGTGCTCCCGTGGCCATGGGCAGATGGGTTGTGTCATGCCATAGCTATGTGGAAAGATAGTACCTTGAGGTCCCTTAGCTGCTGTTACAGGGTCTGTGGATGGTGTTCATAACCGAAAACAGCTGATGGCACTTGTGGTCACAGAATCACAGAATCTTCTAGGTTGGAAGGGACCTTAAAGATCATCTTGTCCAACCGTCAACCTAACTGACAAAAATAGACACCCACCCAACAAACAAAAAGCAACACCATCACTAAACCATCCCTCCCAGCACTACATCACCCCGTCTTTGAACCCCTCCAGGGATGGTGCCTCAACCCCCTCCCTGGGCAGCCCATTCCAATGCCTGATAACCCTTTCGGTGAAAAAATTTTTCCTAATATCCAGCCTGAACCTCCCCTGGCGCAACTTGAGGCCATTTCCTCTCGTCCTGTTGCCTGTGACTTGAGAAAAGAGACCGACCCCCACCTCTCTACACCCTCCTTTCTGGTAGTTGTAGAGAGCAATAAGGGCTCCCCTCAGCCTCCTCTTCTCCAGGCTGAATAACCCCAGCTCCCTCAGCCTCTCCTCATAAGACTTGTGCTCCAGACCCCTCACCAGCTTTGTCGCCCTTCTCTGGACCCGCTCCAGCACCTCAATGTCTTTTTTATGGTAGGGAGCCCAAAACTGGACACAAAACCTGTGACCAGTTGCTCTTTAGAAAAGACCAGGCTCGATGGGGCTTTGAGCAACCTGCTGTAGTGGGAAGTGTCCCTGCCCGTGGCAGGGGGTTTGCATCAGGATGATCTGTTTCAACCTAAACCATTCTATGATTAAAACAAGTGAGCGAGATGGCTGGAGACAGAACAGCTTCAGCGGCGCCGTTTCCATAGGACCAGAACTGATGTCTTTAGGGTGAGAAATTGGAGGGCAAGTTGGGTTCTCAAGACATGGCAATAGGAAGAGCACAAACACTTAACGAGATCTGGAGGAAAGGAAATACAAGATACATTTCCCCCCACTGCTCCACTTGAAGCTGTTTGTGTTCTATTCGAAACCTTTCGTCTGTCAGAGGAAAGGTTTGTGGTGCCCTTGTCAGCCCATGTCACCTCGATGGAGGTGGTGGAAACCACGACCTGAGGAAGTATTTAGTGGTGGTAACAGAGCACAGACCACCCGATTCCCACTCCACAGCCCGTCTCCTGGCATTGCTTTAGACGTAGGTAAAGGCTTCAATGGTTCCACCACGCTGCCTGCATGGTTAGACAGGGGCTGCTTCTGTTCTTCTTTTTGCTGGACCTCAGATAGGTACGTTTGAGCTAATCCCCTGCTTTTCCTTTATATCAGAGCAGAGGAATCAGCCCTGTGGAGTGCAGTCCCCTGCCTTTCTTTGGCTGCAAAGGAGACTCCTGACCCAGAGGAAATGTCATCTGGGTGACAAGGGCTCTGAAGCTGGGCAGTTCAAATGCCACCTCTAAACCACCCGTTCTTTTTCGTGGAGTTTTGGCCCCCAGGAAAGATGAGGCACCTGGATGGGGCTTTGAGCAACCTGCTCTGGTGGGAGGTGTCCCTGCCCATGGCTGGGGGGGGTTGGAACTAGATGGTCTTTAAGGTCCCTTCCAACCCAAACCATTCTGTGATACCTGTAGTAAATTTGGCCCTTAAAAGAGCCCGTCTCTCCACTGTGCTCACTGACTGGTGCTTGGTGCCATGGGATCATCAGCTGAGCCCCCCGAGTGCTGGGTGGACACGTGGCCTCTGCAGGGGGCTGGGGAGAAGGGACCTGCCCCAGCCCGAGGGAGGTGGCATCTCCACAGTGGTGGTGAGGGAAGGAGGAGGACGTAAAGCACCGGAGCGGGGGCTCCAAGAACCAGAATCGCCCACTACGTCTATAATACTTAATTATCTGACTAATCATTTTCGGAATTAACTTCTATGATGAATCCCAGTCTAATCTCTCCGGTGGATGGCGTGAGCAATTTAACACAGATTGAGGCTGGCACCGGGAAACTTCAGCTTGATTAGGTGGGAAGACGAAACGTACTTCTTCTCCCCCCTCCCCTCTTCCGCTCTTCGGAAACAAATCTTTCATAATGCAATTGAAGTGCCAAGTCTGCTTCATTGTGCTGGAAAATTAAAAGAGCAGCCAGCGAGGCGAAGCCCTCAGCGGGGTTCATTCGAAGTAGGTGTCGCTGGGTGTGGAAAGGCAGAGGGACCTCCCCCGCGGAGCCCTGAATCCCACTGGATCCAGAGTCCGGGCACGGGCTGCCAGCCCATCCGAAACCATCTCCCCAGAAAAGGTGTTCTGCCTGTCTTTGAGCTCTCCATTGGCAAATGGAGCCTCGGTGGTTTCTCCCATGAAAAGCTGAATTTGCTTTCATCAATAACGGCAGAAAAAAAAAAAAAAAGCCTTTAAACTTATCGCTGACTTCATCACTACAGTCCTGGACCTTAACGAGTAATTTTCCCTGATGGCACGGTTTCACTGAATTTCACTGAATTTTTAGAGTTGGAAGGGACCATAGAGATCATCTAGTCCAACTCCCCTGCTGAAGCAGGATTGCCTAGAGCTAGAGCATGTTACTCAGGACTGCATCCAGATGGGTCTTGAAGATCTCTAGAGAAGGGGACTCCACAACCTCCCTGGGCAGCCTGTTCCAGGGCTCTGGCACCCTCACTGTGAAGAAGTTTTTCCTCATATTTGAGTGGAACCTCCCATGTTCCAGCTTGTGCCCATTGCCCCTCGTCCTCTCACTGGGAACCACTGAAAAGAGTCTGGTTCCCTCCTCCTTCAACCCTCCCTTGAGATACTTGTAGGCATTGATAAGGTCTCCTCTCAGCCTTCTCTTCTCCAGACTAACGAGTCCCAGCTCTCTCAGTCTTTCTTCATAAGAGAGATGCTCCAATCCTTGAATCGTCTTTGTTGCCCTTCACTGGACTCTTTCCAGTAGTTCCCTGTCCCTCTTGAACTGGGGAGCCCAGAACTGGACTCAGCCAGTTTTATTCCTGTGCCCATCGCTGGGGTGAATTACCTTCCGTGCAGTTTCAGAAAGCCATTGTCCCGAGCTGAGCTCAGGTGCTGCTGTAAAAAAGTGGCTTTTTTGGGAATTGGCCGAGCATGGTGGTCCCTACGCTTCCCAACAGCTGGTTTGTTGGGGAAGTTTTCCTCTCATTCCAGTTTTATTCCTGCGCCCATCGCTGGGGTGAATTACCTTCCATGCAATTTCAGAAAGCCATTGTCCCGAGCTGAGCTCAGGTGTTGCTGTAAAAAAGTGGCTTTTTTGGGAATTCGCTGAGCACGGCGGTCCCTACGCTTCCCAATGGCTGGTTTGTTGGGGAAGTTTTCCTCTCATTCCGAATACAAATCAAATTAACTCATTAAATACCAAGGAGTAAATTCTCTTCGGAACACGGATCTTGCTTTTTTTTTTGTTTTCTTGCATTTGTTTTCTTATTGTAAGGGAGTTGTTTCTGGTTTACATCAAGAACTCCATTCCCTGTGTGTCAGGAGATGGTGCTGACACCCAGACCAGGGGGGAACTGAACACGTGGACCCTCTCCGTCCTGATGCTGAAGAGCGGGGATTGCTGCCTGGAGAGGTGCCAAAAAGGAGGGATAGAGGGTGGGAAGGTGAGTCCCTGAGGGATGGAAGATTTCCATCCCCTCCCCAAGGTTAGACAGCAAGTCTGAGGGTGATGCTTCACATCAAATCTACCAAATGTCTTCCCCCGTCCCCCCCGGAGCATCGCTGCGCTTTTGATTCCTTTTCTATTGTTGCCTTTCACCCCGACCATTTACTGCCTATTCAGGCCTCCCTGCCCTTGGATTATTTCCCGGGACTGGTTTGTAAGGAAAGGCTTTTAATTAGCGAGGA